TAAATGTTTGCATAACGCATGCAAATTATTTTTACATAGTGAGAAAAATACAATGAAGTGCCGACTTTCTGATAAGCGACTTTGCAATTTTCTAACTCGGTGTAAGTTTTTGTTGTCCAACATTTGGTGCGCTCCTTTTACTATCGCAGTCTCAAGTGGTCAGAGGAGAGGCAAGTACGTCCGAAAGCACCTGGGATACGGGCGGGGTTTCAAAGAACTGGGTGCGCGCTGGTTAGGTTTTCGAGCGCACCTACACACCCCATTGCGTTAACTTGATTAAACGTAATAAGGAACCGAGGTATCCAACGAAATACTCTCCCCTTGTCTATGCGCTCTGACTTTAATACACTGTATTTGTTTCGACTTGGTCGACTATTATAATCGATCTGCACCTTGGAGCTTTTATTTTAAAAAATCTGATTAATTACATTGTTTTTTATTCATAGGTACATATTTTAACAAATAAACTCACACCCCATATAATTTATTTGGGAATTACCTGAAGTTGGTGAAGAATCAGAAAAAGCTTTATTAATCATGATACAAAATTATATTTGTTAAATTTCTGTGTAGAATGTTATATTTTTTGTTCAGATATAATGGTAAAGACTAAGTCTGTAGGTATAAATATTTAATAAAGCATGTTTTCAAAGGACAGCTAGAGCACGCTGTTGTGGCAAGTTGTTTTCATTAGGGTGACACCGACCGGTAGGTGGAGCTGCTGGCAGGAACATTTGTCGAAGTAGTAGAGTTTGTCTGAACAGAGTAGAAACAGGAGGGCGCTAGCACATTGTGCTAGCAAAGGGCACAATGTTTTTCTCCTTTATCACAGATACGGATTAATGTCGAGGTAATTAAAATGGCAAACAAAGCAGCGGTGACCTGGAGGAGAGTCAGTGGTTTCTTGCTGCCCCCTCTGCGGCTGCACCAAATGTCAGGAGCCAGCAGTCGGCTCTGTAGTTCCGAGCAGAAAAAACCTATAAAGGTCCGTATCAGAGCTTTTATTTTATGTGTAGACTACTCGCTTAAAGCGTTTACTATCCACTGTTACTGCCTAGTTTATTTTAAAAGCATGGGTTGACTCAATATCAAAGAGAGCGGGTACATTTTCAAGATTATTCAAGCTTGTGTTGTGTTGTTTTCTCCTTGAAACCATTCCCATATTTGTAAGCAGTCGCCTCTAACCGTCATAGTCTGAGCTTTAGTAACCAACTTTAATGGCTCTCCGTCCCCCCCTTTCATCTGAACAAACCACAAGACTCCTACATTAACAGTCTATATGTATTTGGAGGAAACCAAACAGCATCTCAACACAAACCAACCATGTGTGTATAAAACACGGTGGAAAGGGGTGGTGATGATTTGGGCTTGTGTTGCAGTCAGTCAGAAATTTAACCCTGAACTTCTCTGTTTACTAAAAAAATCTGGAGTAATATGTGAGGCTATCTGCATATATGCAACAGAACATTAAATCTAAATAAGCGACAGAAGGATGAGGAAAGAAAATAATCTAGGTATAAGTCATTTGGTTGCTGAGAAGCTGTGTGTTTCAGGTGTGTGTACCTTTTTCCTGGCCCCTGCCTCCTGGATCGTGTTTTTCTTCTTGCTTTTCCCATGATGACGGCTGCTGAGAAATGATAAGCACAGCGTTTTATCATCTCAGTTAAAGACTTGTGACGTCCATCTGTGCCCAGGACAACTGCAATGCCTTGCAAAAGTATTCATTCCCTCTTTTTAGCACTCTGCAAAGTGACGACCATAAACGAAGAGTTTAAAAAAAATCCTGTTTGAATCATTTTATTTAGTTGCACTTTAGGTTCAGTGCATCATTTGCTCAAACTGTGGTTATCATTGAAGGAGAGAGGATCAAAAGTGGTGTGTTCACCCTCACTGGTGGAGAACACAAAGATGTTTTCACTGACGGCAAATTATTTCCAGAGTCTTTGTTCAAACTAAAGGAGAAGTGGTTGTAAACAACTCGCATCATATATATTTTTTAAAATTAAGTGCTTCTTTGGCTTGTAACCATCCCACTTTTTGATATATGTAGATATCTACATCAAGGCCGGATCCCTGCTCCACACATGACTGGATCGGTCCCCCAAACTCTCTGTCAAACCTGCGACCCATTGTCTACCGCATCAGTGAGAACGAGTCTGATCTGGAAAAGCAGCTGAGAAAACTGAGGCAGGAGACCGAGGACTGGAATCACATATTCTGGACCAGGCAGAATGTCAACTTCAGCAAGGTTTGAATTCACGTTTTCCAACTAGTTTTGTTTGATTTGTTTATCGGGTTACATAAGCATATATATTGTTTACAGGTAAAATTCCCAGAAGATTTCAATTTCTTTAATTCATAGCTCATGGCTGTGTAGAGCCTTATTTCTACCAGCAGAGGGCAGCAATGTACAACAGTCTGTAGAAAATATACTAAAATAATTATGCTTTCAGTGTTCCTACAGGTACATCTAAAAATAATGATAATAATAACAATAATATATTTTTTGTAAAAGTTGTACATATTATTTTCACTCATTTCAGAAATTGAAATTCATATATAGATTCATGCTATGAAGTCAGATGGTCATAGGTTCGAATCCCAGCCTGAGGTCTTTTCTACATGGAGTTTGCAAGTTCTCTCTGTGTGTGCATTGTTTCTCTGCAGTTACTCTGGCTTATTAACTTTATTAACTCAAACCACCAAGCCATGAAAGGTCATTGCTGAAGAAGTTGGTTGTTTATAGAGTTCTGTTGAAGAAGAGTGAAAGAAAGTTGAGTGGAAGGAAGGAAGGGACAGCTGCAGACTTAAGTAGATTTCCAAACAAAATTTGTCCAAAAATTTGGAGAAGCTTCACAAAGGATTGGCCTGAGTTCTGGATACAGATGAATCCTACACACCAAGAACATGACTGTGCCTCAGTGGTCCAATATTCTCTTTTCAGATGAAAGTTTAGTTTCCATTTCATCTAGAAATCAAGATCCCATCCTGGTCACCTGCTGCTGTTGGCCCACTGGGTTTTCTTTTGTCTGTCTACCAGGACATTCTAGAGAGCATCATGCTACTTCCTGCTGACACGCTGGATGGAGATGCTGATTTCATTTTCCAGCAAAACTTGGTACCAGCCCACACTGCCAAATATACCAAAAAATAAATAAAATACCGTGGTGGTACTGTGCTTGATTAGTCAGCAAACTGACCTTTAACCCCATAGAAAGTATCTAGAAGGTTTTCAAGAGGAAGATGAGAGACACCAGAACCAACTAGGCAGACGACCTAAAGGCAGCTACCAAAGCAACCTGGGTTTCTGTTGCACCTCAGCTGAACCAGTGGCTGATCTCCATGTCATTACTGATGCAGTAATTCATTAAACAGGAACCATAACAAGAACTCAGAGAATAGAAGTGAATATACATTTCAGAAGCCAGTTTAAAAGCAGAAAACAACTTTGTTTTCCTCTTCTCTACAGGAAAAAGAAGCTTTCATCATCTCACAGCTGAAGGCAAAAGGCTTGACTTTGCGTGGAGAAGATGGTGAGGATATATATATATATATATATATATATATATATATATATATATATATATATATATATATATATATAAATACACTTAAAAGGATTCAAGGTGTACAGTAGACTAGAAGAATAGTTGATGAGAATAAAAATTCCTTTAAAAGCTGCTCTGGGTTCACTCTGATGTTTTAAGATGACATTATAGTGAATTAATGTGAAGCATCTTGGTCTCTCCCTCAGGAAGACAGAGTTCCCTAAGCAGTGAAGAGATGGCTGTGTTTTACAAAAGCTTCTTGGACAAAAACAGAATGCGGCATGCAGATTACAACAGGTGAGTTGTTTTTGTACGCTTGATGTTTCCCATGATGCTGTTGGTGCATGTCCCAGTGCCCCAGCAGCGTCATACCACTCTGTGTGCAGAGACCAATCACGACAGGCTCTAGAGAGAGTTTTGTAAATAAACATGCTAACGTAGTGGACTTGTTTTCTGCCTAAATGCATCAACTCTTAAGATGATTTTGTTGTTTTCCTTTTTGCTCATTTTTAATTATTCTCATTATTTTTATAAGCTGTAATCAACCAGCTAGTAGCTTTTTTTTATGCAAATGTGTATCAAAAGCAGCAATTCAGTATTTTAACAGCACACTGCAAACTAAATATTTTTGCATGACTGAATTTTTTTTTGCCTTTTTTCCCACGCATCAAGAGAGTGGTACAGACGTAACTTCACCATCACTTTACTCATGGCTCGAATTGCCCTCAACGACTTTTGGAGGACTGTAACTGCAAAACATCACAAGAAGAAAAACAGCACGCCAACAATTTAATAAATAAATATTTACATACCATCCATGTGTCTGACTGTGTTTTGATTTCATTAGCATGATGTATTCAGAATGTTTGTAAAATTCTGACAGAAAGTAAGGATATATCTTTTTAAAATCAATTAAAAAGATCAAATCAATGGGGCATGCAGCTAGAAGAGTAATCACAAATCAAATGACTGGAGCATAAATGGCAGCTGCTGACTCACTGACTGCAACATAACATACCTGGTGACACTCAGAAACTAACAGCCAGATCCTGATTTTAACAGTTTTATTATATCATTTGGGAGCGAGAATAAGTAACGATCACTCAAAATTGGCAGGCTGTAGAAGAACAAATGTACAACCATACATACATTTATATCTTAAATTTATTAAAACTTCCCTCATGAATTAAATTTGCAGTAAATATGCGTTTAAGACTATCTGGCAAGGATGTGCACCAAATTTGCCCCCCCTTGATGGCGCCAACTAAACAGTTTTTTTGTTTGATTTGTTTTTTAATCTAACTTGGGTAAGATGTTTTTCATTCCCATTAGATAATATACTCTGAAGCATACATTGAAAGCCACCACTTTTTTTTCAACGCTTAAGATTTTATCACAAATGTGGCTCATTACTGTCACCGCAACTTCCTCTTTTATCCTGTCAAGATGACATCAGTATTACCGGGGGAGGGGTGAGGGGGCGCCGGTTAACGCCATTTTCACGCTCCGAGCAGTCACTCATCGTCTCGCGGAGCTGTCATCCGCAGCACCGATTCATTTGTTCAGTCCGTCACGTGACGCCTCGGTCTGGGCAGTGACGCGGAGCTGCTGTTGGTATGGAACAGGACAGGATATTCACCTGAGCGGCTCCGGTTGGACTCAATGTTTTGACGTAAGGCTGCTAGGTGCTAGCATGTAGCTAACCGGACTGTAGCATTTGATGCAGTAAGGTCCAGCTAACCAAAACACACCCAACCACTGGACAAGCCACTGGTTGGAATTTCTGTTTTTTCGTTCTTCATAGTCTTCACAACCATAAGCTGTTGGTGACAGAAAAGGGGACAGCTCGGGGGAAACGAGAAGGGTAAATTGGAACGACTCAGTGGAGCTCCACTGGCAACGAATGTCCCACAGAACGGTAAGAATGGCTCCGAGTATTCATTGGGCGGCACTCATCGGCTAATTAACACATCTCCCTTACATACAACGTTCAGAATGTGCTTTTTAAACAATTTTCTCAGCGAACACATATTTGAAATTAAAGCGTGTAAATAAACTGAACAGCGGTGTTTCAGGGAACCTGCTGGCTGTTATGTGTTCAGTGTTTACGTTGATGCCAGGAATTAGACGCCACAAACAACTGTCAATGAACGCTAGCTCGGAGTGTGCTCTGTGGTTCGACAGGAAAGTACTGGCTAACTAGTTCTTCTGGTTAATCCACTTGGAAGTGAACAAATAAGAGCACGGGCCGGACAGAAGTATGCCTGTCAGCTTCTGAAAACGCCTGAAAAAAAGTCTGTCTTTTGCATCTCATTGATATTCAGAAGAGATTGAGTAGTGTCGGTCAGTCCCCCTTCTAAGAGACAGTGGATCTCAGTGTGCAGCTCACAGCTGGGAGACCAGGAAGACCTGAAGGTGTCTGCTGTGGATGTTTCACATTTCAGGGCTCGTGCTGATCCACAGGGAAGTTTAATTGTTTTCACAGAGATACTCCCACTCCTACAGGTCCACTGCCACACCTGGACAATTATACCGTCTGAGTCAACGTCTTTTGAACAGAGTAATGATGACGCTCAGGATGTACTGCAAGATTTTCAATGCAGTTCAGTGTCATTTTGTTAGCGGAGTCCGCTAACAAAATGACACTTAACTCCAAAGTCATTTTTTAATTGGGCAACTATGCTATTAGGCTAACGATTTGATGACTTGGCACATGTGTTCATGTTAGTTTATTTTTAATGCAAATGTACAGAGAACCTTTGTAAATAAGACATGGGCTGGTATAAGACTCTTGTGTTGACCAAAAAGTTAAATGTGTAACATGACTTAAGTGTAAATATTTTAATCAGTAAAGAATTTTTAAAATTTCCTGCTGAAATAATGTTACATTGACTTGGACGGTTATGGTTACTGGACTGGACTAGTCATTCAAAACACTTTCACACAAGAGCCACAGTTACCCACAAGCAGGGACACGTCCACACATCCAACACAATGGTAGGCAACTTGAGGGTAGGAATCGAACCCACAGCTTTTCCGATTGCAAGATATGATGCCTATTACCAGTCAAAAAAAAAAGATGATCATTTTAGCAGGTTAATTAGATTGCAGATTGCAGGTGGCCAGCCTTAATAAGAGAGATGAGACTATTTTAGTTGCCAGACTCTGAATGTTTTTCATCACCAGAGATATCTTTAAACTGTAGAATCTTTATTTCTTGTAGAAATAAAGTAGATTATAGAAACCTTCTTTCTGGCTTCTGACCAGCAGTGCATAGCAACAGATGGGGGAGGGACACTACTTGTCCTCCTCCAAGCCTCAGGCAGCCAGAGAACACTCTGATTATGGTGGTGTTTCACCATATTTATGTTTTTTCTGAAACACAACCTTTATGTACCTTGATACAAGTCAACAGTTCATGTCTGTTGTGGATCAAAGTCTAACTTCCCATCAGCTCTGGCCAGCTGAAAAAAAAAAACAGGGTCACACAAAGCAGCAAAAAACTGGAGACCAGTCTGGACTGATTTACAGTTGCCAGATACAGTTACTGTTTCAAATTTCTTAGAGTCCTCTGATTGATGAGTTTTAGGCATTTTTTTCCATGATAACAGTTAAGTGTTGGTGGAGGGATGAATTTTACCACCAAGTGGATTTCTTCCAGAGTTGATGAACTGGAGCTCCAGCTGATGTGTAAATGTTTTGATAAGAAAATTACAGACAACCTGTCTTCATAAAACTGCTGCGCAACGATGGTGTCTTCAGTCAGAGGCATTTTCAGATCCACTGTAACACAGACTGCTTCAGGAGCTCTTTCCTGCCCACAGCCATCAACATCGACAACAACTCTGATTAAAATGACGCATTACATTTATTCTTGCTCTAACATTAATGAAGTATTTTTGAATTGCAAATTATTTGCAAATTTTGCTGAACAATAAATTGACCCAGAAATTATGATAGACTATAATATCATTGTTTTGAAACCGTTTTCAAATAATATATTGATAATCACATTATAATGCAAGTTTGCCTTCTTAAAGACCAATAAACTGTAATTTTTTAAAGAACTGGAAGAGATTTTAAATATCCAAAAACAAAACAACCAAAATCAATAAATTAAAACTAAATTAAGAACCACACACAACTAAAACCATTAAGAAACTATATTATGAAGTCTCTGTAAACATAATTGCTGTTCAAAAAGTATTAATCACCTGAATGGAAATTATGGAGCTCATTTTAAATGATCATGCAAATTAATTAACCGCTGTTATTGACCACGCAGGCTTAGCGGTTGTAGGCCAACTTGTGTGACTAGAACATTGCAGAAAACCTTAAAACTTGAACTTCATCATATTTAAACTCCGGTGTTTAATTTGTGCTCTGAACAGTTTTATAGAAAGCAGAAATGTTGATGTTCTTATGCAAGCACAGGGCAGGTCACATGACTGAGGAAACCACAGCTCCGTGAGATCAATGTGAAAAGGTGAAATGCAGGAAAAGCACAGATATTTTACATTAATGCAGTTTATATGGGCGTGTTATAATAAAGTTTTGCAAAACATGTATGCAATAAGTAGCTGCATAAATTGAAGCCACACAGCTTGCTAGGAGTACAATACAAGACACCAGCAAGTATAGAGTATAAAAACAATTTAAAGTTTAGTTTTTATCGCTGTGAACTCGTACTGTGAGTCAGATCTGTACTAATATTGTCTCTATTTTCAAAGTTTTGATTGCTGTTACTATTAATGAAGATGTCAATTATTACTGATATATTGATTTAGAAAGAATTTTAACATGTTAAAATTGATGGATGTTTGCTCAAAATGGCATGAAATATGAATGAATGTGTTGTATCAGTTATAGATATGGATATAGAAAATCCTAACGAAGAGACTGTTAACATGAGTAGTAATTTATTGGGTGATGCTGTAGATGTGAGAGGGGTGGGTGAAATAAGTTTATACGTCTACCAGCTCCTTTGAATGTGTAAACATAATTTACTACTGTTTTTAAATTTATTTTACTTTTATTATTTTATTATGCTCATTCAGTAAGGTCAACCTCAGTGTTTACATCAGATAATAGTCCTGCTGTGATTTGTAATATGCAAAAGCCAATCTTCTGAGCTGATGAACAACTTTCTAATTAAGTAAAAGATTAAAAGAATAGTTCTAAGTTGCATTTTATCATTTAACTGCACAAACATTTCTGAAACCCTTTTGGTTCTTAAAAAAAAAAAAAAATCAGCTTTATCTTAACTTAAATATTTTGGGGGCTCTATAGTTTCTCCTCGCTTCACAAACCCCGTTTGTCACCGTCTGCTTCTGCGCCCATCCGTCCCCGTAACATCAATACGCATGCAGCGTCAGCTTCCAACTTCCTGTGGATCTGATAGGCTGCGGGCCGGTTGCCGTGTCACATGGAGCAATCGGAGCTGCAGGCTTTCCTCGCTCCGTTCGCCTGGTTTGGTTTGCGGCTCGCTGTCTTGTCTCTGGTGCGTTCACTGACATCTGAAATGTGTGTGGCAGCTGAGGCAGAACTCGACGTCTCCACCTGGACCCGTAGAAGCGCTTACACAAAGGTGGGCCGGCTGCTTCGTAATGCTATCGGGGAAATGAACAATGATACACACACAGCACTCCACTATAATCCTCTTACGCAGTGAATGCGTGTGCGTGTGTGTGTGTGCGTGTGTGTGTGTGGGCGTGTGTGGGTGTGTGTGTGTGTGTGTGTGTGCGCGCGCATAAAGAATAGAAAGCAAAGAAGCAACAGAGTGTGGAGAAGTCTAAAGTATGTGAGGTTATTAAAAGTTGTCACTAATTAAATCTGCATAAGAGCATATATGAACTGATTGGTGTAGAACTTTATCATATCATTATGAGGTGTTTATTCCAGGAGATGTTTAAGGAGGCAGCACATTTGCCTCATTATTTGTGTCAGATGTTTGGAGGTTTTTATGTGCAACAGTCCATCCTTTGTATCACTTATCTGTAAATCAAACCCAGATCACATCCCTCACAACCATCAGCAGACAGCCGTCTGGTTTGAACCGGGTCCTCCAACGGCACCAGAGACACCAGGATGCTGCTGCTCTCAAACGGAGCGCTGTTCAACGCGTTTTATTGGATAATGTCTCGCAGTCCAAGACTATGTGAAGCATACTCAGAAGGATTCATGACGTTGAAATTACCGTATGAATCAAATCTGAAAATTGTGCTATTCTCATCAACAGTGAGTCAGTATCTTGCAGAGAAACTGTTTGTTGAATTTACAGCTGCAGTAATTCTACTAGTAGAGACTGAATGGTTGCCTTGCAACATTGCTCAAGCTTAGCCAGATACAATAGTGTGTGTGAACTATTTTCAAAGTTTTGCCTCACTTTTCTTTTTTTTCTTTTTCTTTGTAAAATCTGACTTACTTCTGTCTGTTGGACAGATGGAAATTAATATCGGTTATTGAATATCGACCCAGTTTTACTTGTAGGACCGATCCTGAAATACCATAAATATCAATGTGTAACATTGGACGATTCTAGAGCTGGATGATATTATATGTTTTTATGAAGTGTTTCATATCGGGCAGTATCAATAATTATTGATCAGTTTTTTTATTGTAAATACCTGAAACACTGCCAAACTGGCGGTGTGACGTTTCCTGTTTTATCCAGAGTTTTCAATCCAGATCGTTTTTATATATATATATATATATATATATATATATATATATATATTTTTTTTTTTTTTTTAAGCAGTTATCAGGCCCGGGGGGGAAACCTGAACCTGCTGCTCCACAGGTTACTCAACAGGTTGTTGCTAGGCAACCAAGTTCTGATGATGTTGATGCCACCCACTTTTCTTATCTAGCCTTGAGAGGTTGAGCAGATAAACTCTTTCCTCTGCCTACATCTCCCAGAAAGGAGTGCAGTTCTGGATCTATTCTAGCAGATGTTTTATCTATTAGTATTGATCATGTGTTCATCACCATATATATTGTTATTGATTTATTGTCCAGCTCCAGCTGATGCTGATATAGCGCTGTCATATTGTGCATCGCTACAGAAAAGTTGATTTTCTCTTTAACAACTTCCCCACTGAAGAGTGTAGTGTGACTTGTGTGTGTTCACACAAATTTCAGTGCATCTCTGTTAATCTAGACCACACCTTGTTCTTTAGAAAGGTATTTATTACACACTACTATTACTATAATACAATGTTTTTGCACTAAATTGATGTATTTTTGTTGGAATAATGTGGTTTTGCAAGTCAGTAACCACATCTTTTTAATGTCTTTTCTTTTGTTGTCTCTAAAATGTGCAGGATGCGTGAGGACATGTCCACAATGGTGTGTGTGAAGGAGGAGGAGGACCCGGGGGAGAAACTGTCTCAGGATGAGATCATCTCCCGGACCAAGCAGGTGATGCAGGGCCTGGAAGCCCTGAAGCAGGAGCACCATTCCATCCTGGAAGGCCTGCTGGGCACGCTGCGCTGCCTGAAGCAGGACGAAGAGGGAGTCCTGGTGGAGGAGAAGTCGCACATGATCCGGAAATCCCTGGAGATGCTGGAGCTCGGTCTGAGCGAGGCTCAGGTAGGCAGAATCAGCGCTTTGGCCCTTGATGAATGAGGAACCTTTAGAGATCAGGAGGATTTGATTGTTTTCAGGACAGGTGGAAATATTACAGCTTGGATGGTTAAAATTCCCAACATATATTATATACTGATGTTCTCATGGAACCAACACTGGAATAAATGACACAAGTAAATCCCTACTGACTGACTCATTTGGGAGTTTATCATATTGTTTATCATTATTTGGATAATAATAAGTTTAGATCAGTGGTGTCCAAACTTTTTTGCAACATGAGCAAGAAACCCTTAGTTGACAACATTGATGGTCTTCTCCAACTTAAAGCACAAAATCATTGTGTTGTGATTTTTATTTTTATTTTATATCTGCGCTCCAAAAAATTAAACAATGCAAGAAAAGTGGCATTTTTTTAGTCTTAATTAGTTGTTACTTCTTTTCACTTTACTTGGTCTAGAAAGTATTTTACTCAATTTCAAACAACAAAAAAAGAGAACTTTTTTATTTTAAAGGCTTTTTTTTCCTAGTAAAATCTCGCTGAATGTTTATAGTCCTACTTACTATGTAAGTAAAGTGAACTTTGGACTCCTCAGCCCCTCCATGATATACGGCAGCGGCAGCATAATGCTGTGGTAATGCTATTTTTCTGCACAGACTGTTGTAATATGTCTAAATTTGAAGATGTTTACTGTTATGAATATTAGACACTGAACATATGGCAATGATACGGGAATTTTGTGTGTTTGGACCTGGCAGACTGCAGCAAACTGTTTGTGTGTTGCAGGTTAAATTGAGACATTCTTAGACCAAACTGAATGGAAATGAGAAGTGAAGAACAAAAGCAGAAGTGCTCTTGATTTTCTTTTAAATCGCAACTTTCCTGTGCCAATGTGAGTCATAAACGAGTTGTTATTCATGTTGCTGCCTCTCTTTAAGCCATCAGATAAAACTGCACAGCATGAACAATCAGCACACTCTCATTTACACCATGTAGGTTTTCTTTAGTTTTGTGGCTTGGTATCACTAATGTCTCTGTTCAGCAAATTCATCATCTGCACACAAAAAACTCATTAAATTTGTACTTTAACTATAACATGAGAGTAAAGTACTGAAAGCCAGCCGCTGTCCCCTTTGGAAGAGGGTGAGTTTTCAGGCAAAAAAATAAATAAATTGGATTTAGCTTTTTATAATAGATCAGTGATTGGTCAAAACACTGCAATGGTTGCAAACTTAGAGAGTTTGAATTTTCTATTCAAAGTTCAAAATCCATTACTTTAGTTCTCTTTCTTACAGACCATGCAAGAAATAATGAGATTCTTCAGATATTCCTGATTATTGGAGGATCTGAAAAGATTATGCCAAGGCTGGACTGAAAACTAGTGCAGATAAGACGAGGAAATTCCAAGCATTATTGTATCGTTTATCACTTACCATGATAAATTTCTTCTTTAATTTATCGTTGTCACGTTAAGCTCCATATAGTGATGTTCAAGATACTCCAAAACTGTCTGTTACCAGGATTGTTAGATTTAATATTTTAAATCTAAAATATTTAGATTAAACTTAATCAATCAAGTTTATTTGTACAATACATTTCAGTAACAAGGCAGCTCAAAGTGCTTTACATCATAAAAACACAATGTTTGATCAATGGAAACATCAGCTAATGTGAACATTTGATTAAACGCAATTAGGATTTGGAGTTTGATGTAAATCACACTTTAAATGATTGGTGTCCTAAAGAAGTGAATAAAAAATGGGAGCAGTGTTTCTATGGCTACAGAACAGTTGCCTAAAAAGAACTAGTAAATCCTTCTTATCATCACTTCTGTCATTATCACAAGGGTCCCACAAAATACCACGGTAAAACTTTAAGTCCAGATCCCCGACACGGAATATGTTGCTTTTTCCACACATCATGCACCACCTTTGAGTCGTGTTACCTGACCTGTGCTGGAACGTGTCTCTGCTCAGGTGATGATGGCGCTGTCCAGCCACCTGAGCTCCGTTGAGTCAGAGAAGCAAAAGCTGCGGGCGCAGGTACGCAGGCTGTGCCAGGAGAACCAGTGGCTGAGGGACGAGCTGGCGGGAACGCAGCAGAAGCTGCAGAAGAGCGAGCAGAGTGTAGCGCAGCTGGAGGAGGAGAAGAAGCACTTAGAGTTCATGAACCAGCTGAAGAAGTATGACGAGGACCTGTCCCCCTCGGTGAGTCCTCAGCTCCTCCTGTACGAGAGTTCAGAGCATCAACTGCAAAGAAATGGATCCATTTTATGGGTTAGAAAACTTCAACCAAGCCACATTTAATGGATCAGTGTTTGACTAGTCATATTGAGTCTGACTGTAGGAAAACCTTAATTATAAATAATTACACTAAAAATGTAAAACATGTTAAGTTGGTTTTATTTAAAGGGGCATTATTATGTAAAATTGACTTTTTGAGCTTCACATCATAACATGTTATTCCCTCATCAAAAACAGTCCTGGAGTGTTGCTTTGATTCTTTCATGGATATTTGAGAAATAATTTAATCACCATGGCAACCAGTCAACTGTCCAAAACACCTGGGTGGACCTAGCTCCGCCTTTGAGGTGACGCTCGTCCTCAGAGCTGCAGTTTCTAGACTTCAGAGCTTCCTCCTCCTCAGAGCAGCCAGTTAAATTACAAAGTACAAATTGTTTTAAGTTGTATTTGATACATATGGCATTTTTTTTTAACAACTGAAGGTAACATAGTTAGTTGATTGTGCTATAAATGGGAATATGTGGAAAAAATACATAAAACTACTTAAATCCTCTCTTCTTGAATAAGACAGGATTTTCAAATATTGGTGCTCCAATTATCAGTTTGATATGAAAACCTGAGTGCAGAACGGCTGCTTTGAAACTTAACTTGTTCCTGTTTTTAGACAAAAACTTGACATTCTCTTCTCGTTTTTTTTTTAATCTATTTTTTTCCTTCTTTTAACAACCAGGAAGAGAAGGAGTGTGACTCCAGTAAAGAGACCTTGGATGACCTCTTCCCAGATGACCAGGATGACCAAGCTCCAGGCAGTAAGTGTTCCATATTCTTTCATCTGCTCTCTATACATTAACATAATACTGTGCAAAACTATATAGTATGGTACATGGTTTATTTATTTCTTTTGCAAGTTAAAATCTGAAAATCTTTGATAACCTTTAACGACACCCAGAGCAATTTTTGAAAAAATATACACATATATACATAAAATGATTGAATAAATATACACATGAGCTCAACAACAAATATATTGTTTTTAATGATTTTTTTTCTCTTGTTTTTAATGCTTCAATATCTAATGTTTTAATTTTGATTCATTAATTACATAAAGTCCTAGCCCTATATTATGCATATCAGATGTGTTTATTTGACTGAAAGTGATTTTAGGCGGTTTTAAGACATGTTAATTTTGCACTTGCATTATTTTCAAAATTATAAGGACGGAAACCTAGAAATGTGATACTGGTGATGTGGAGCAGGTGGGGAGAATCACACAGTTAAAGGAAAATAAATCAAGATAAATAAGATGGAAATGAGTGTGGAGGCATTACATAAGCTTGTTTATGCATAAACATGCAACACCTGCTTCTTCCAGCATCCACTGCTTCCATAATATCAGTTAAAATGATACTCTTTGTGTCTGGTATAAACAGACTTTGGATTCAAATACCACCTGCAGAGGCACCTGGTTGTTTATATTGCATTTATGAACATTAAGTTGACAAGAACAGTGTCTATTCACTTTACTGCCTTCCAATAGTGGAGAAAAAAACTAGAAAAATAAATTGGTATCATGAATTTGAAATAAAATATGTAAAATGTATGAAGAGACAGGATGTCTGTGTTGTGGTATGTGAAGAAAACGGGCCTCATTATTCTCCTTCTTTCTGTGCCTGAGGCGCCTGAGGCTCTCAGTGTCGGTACGCGGTGGATCCGGGGCGAGTTGTGGAGAAGATTCGATTTAGCTGAGCTCTGAGCTTGTTCAGACAGCCTGACTTGCTGTTAGGGGTTTTTATTAAACTGCAGTCAATGGGACAGGAACAATGGGAATGACAGCCCTGCATTCACTGAAATCAGCTCACCGCTTAAAGGCCCATTTTCCCTGCATTTACAATAAAATGCACCACCGTTTTCCGTTGTAACTTGAATAAAACATTGGAGAAGTATTTAAAGCAGTGCAAGGCAACTGCAAGTAATGTAACTGATGAATTTCTTGTTCACCTTTAAAAGTGACGTTTCAAGTTCCAGCTTGATTTTATTAAATGATACAAGAGTAACAATTACAATATGCTGACACATTTTACTGCGAGAGCTAGGAAATAAACCAAAGAGCACTTTTTGATTTTAACGAGATTAAAAAACTTGCTATAACTAGATTTATATCTCATTAAAACCAAAATATATTTCTTTCAAACAATAAAGGTGGTAACAGTAAAACTTCTAAAAATCCTGGGATTTTTAGAAGTAGAGGACCCTGGGTGAAGAGGAGGAGAGTCGTAGTGAGACCCTCTGCTTTTTTAACAAGTTGCAATCTGTCAGAGCAGCTCATCTTTATCTCAGTGTAATGAGATATAAATATATAAAACTCATCTCATTAAATGAAAAACTTTATTGTTTAAGGAGATCCATGCATTGTTTTTACACTCCTGTCCCTAGTGGGGTCATGAGGGGTTCTGGTGGCTATGTCCAGTGGTCAAAGAGTGAGAGGCGGGGTCACCTTGGACAGGTCATCAGTCCATCACAGGGCAACACAGAGACAGATGGGACAAACAATCATGCACACACACACACACGCGCACACACACACACCTGCACAACGCTCTTGCTTTTGAACTACAGGAGGAAGCCAGAGTACCCGGAGAGAACCCACCAATGCACAGGGAGAACATGCAGAAAGACCCCCAAACCAGTTCAAGAAGATGAATTTATGTTTCTTTTTAGAGGGATGAGTTTTATGTCTGGTTTTAATGAGAAACTTTTTTGTTTTAACAAGAAATATTCTTGTTTTATCAAGAAACTTTCTCGTTTAAGCAAGAAACTAACCTTAGTGAGGTTTGTTATATCTTCTTTTAACAACAAAAATTAGTTTTAACAAGATGAGTTTTATATTTCATCTTGTTAAAACGAGATGGGTTTTATATCTCACTAAAACTGGACTTTTTGACTAACACTGAAAAGTTTCTTGTTTAATGAGTTTTGCATCTTGTTATAACAAGAAAGTTTCCTGATTTTAACGAAAAACACTCGTTATAACGAGATATTTCTCCTGAGTTTATTAACGAGGTCTAGCAGTTAAACTCATCCGTAGCGATACCTGTGAAAAAATCTAGAGGTTTTTTTTGTTGTCGTCTTGTATTTCAGCAATGTGTTTGTGTTTGTGTGTGCAGTGCAGCCAGCTCACGGTAGCGCAGCGGCAGCAGCTGCCCAGCAGGGCGGCTATGAGATCCCAGCCCGCCTCAGGACCCTCCACAACCTGGTGATCCAGTACGCGTCCCAGGGCAGGTACGAGGTGGCCGTGCCGCTCTGCAAGCAGGCGCTGGAAGACCTGGAGAAGACCTCTGGACACGACCACCCAGACGTAGCCACCATGCTTAACATCCTGGCGCTTGTTTATAGGTAAGAGAGTTCAGCTTTCACTACACGACAGTAGTGTTTGGAGTTCTCATTCATTTTCTCTTAACATGTTTTCGATAAGTAGCAGAGTTGAACATTTTATCTTAAAATATGTTTTAAAATAAGTTTTGCACAAAGGCTGCAGAGGTTCACAGACCACAAGTCACTGAAAAAGGCCTACCTCAGAAATCCTTTTCTCCTTTTACGAGAGAGAAAATGACCACACGCATATATCAATAAGCAGTTAATGAAAACAAGCTCAATAATTTCCATTTGCACCATTTCTTGTTTTCTCTTTTCTGTCTTTGTGACAACAACCAGATGATAAAAGTCTTCAGTTTGGTGTTTTGGTCTCAACTAGCCCTTTGTTTGAAGGACAGTTTTGTTACAGAGATTTCATAATTAATTTTTATTTGTTGTTTCTGTTTTGCTTATTTATTTTGGATATTTAAATGTATTCCAGTTCCAGTGTTAAATGTTCATTAGAACCTAATGTGTCTTTGCATTAGCATTACATTACTTAAAAATGATCTCAGTACAACAATAACATTGTTTATCACAATAACCTTTGGGACAATTTTTCGTCCAGAAAGATTTGTTATTGCGACAGGCTGACCAATGGGCCTGTGTATGAGCTGCAAACCCTGCAGGAGAGGAATACTGGGGCGGCTAAATGCTGGAGCGGAGTGCTTCAGTTCTTATATCAGAGATTTTAGATTGGACTGATTTCCGATATTGATATCGGATTGGGACACACCTACTTGTAACATTGCTATTCTTTGAAACGTTTAGCTTGGATTCTCAGATTCTCGTTCCCTTGTGTTCAGATGAAACCAAAGATGGCTTTACACTAACAAAAATGGAAATGTCCAGCTCTTCCACCAGATGGGTGGAAATTAATACTAATAATGCATTTCATTTTTCACACTTCTCTAAGTACTCAAATACAAACTACATTCCCAAGATACCAGGAACAATAATGACACAGAAGAATTGTGCAACCATTTTTCCTGGATTGTTGTTGGATGTTTTGTTGCTTGAAACCCAACTTGTCAGCTCACTTATACATCACTGCAGGAAACAAAGTACTACCTTGCTCTGTGTATTTATGTCCCACTCTTTATTCCTGTCTTTAAGGGATCAGAACAAATACAAGGAAGCAGCCAACCTGCTAAACGATGCTCTGGCCATCAGAGAGAAGACTCTTGGCAGAGACCATCCAGCTGTAAGTACATCTGCCTGCATAGATTACTAGGGAATACTCATTCTGTCATTTGGTTTGTAGAAAGGGTTAGGGTTAAATATTTGTGAACAGAGCTGAAGGCCTAGAAAACCCTTTTAGAAGTAAAATGACTGATGGCAGATGAAAAAAATACTTGATTTATGTTGTGGCAACCAGTTGCTCAACTGAGTGTAAAGACCGAGAATGTAGAAATAAAGCCGTTTAGAGAGCTCATGACTTTGTTTTTTGGCTTGTTATAGTCTAGGCACAACAGTGAAATATATTTGTAATGAAATGTTGCATTTATAAACGGCTCCAAAAAAAAAAAAAAAACTGCTCCATAGAGTTTGACTGTCAATGGTTGAAATTAATTTGAAGTAAAAGTTGCCTTGAATTGTTAATATGCCACACTATCGAATGTTGTGTTCCTCTAGCATTAGGTTAACTTGGGGATAATCAAAGTTAACCTACTGTTAATGACATTACTTGTTGCGTTCCTAATATGATTTCATCATCTTATTATATAAAAGACCCAAAGATTTGAGTGTCTGTTTTTGCTGAATACATAAATGTAAAATTTAGAAATTTACTTTGTCAGACACATAGATGCATTTTATGTTGTCACACAAAACACATTACGTTTGTTGTCAGACAGTATGACTGCACTATGTCTTGACCTGCTCCCAATGGAAAAACACAAGAACCACCAACAGATAAACAACACTCCATTACCCTCACTTTTCACAATAGATGTAATTGGATGGTATTAAAACGCATTAACCCATATAAAATGTATATTTTTCTGGTTATAACTCATTAAGTTGGTAGTTTAAACAAGCGATTTATGCATCGATTTCCTTCTGTTTGTACATTTCAAAGTGAGCATTAGCAGGTGGACTAACTATGTTAACCCCAGCAGGACAGTGTATTTCCTGTTTGGAGCCTCATCACTCTTCAGTTTATCAAACTGAGTAAGCCCTCCTCTCCTCTCCTCCAATCTGCCACTAGGCCCTGATTATCCATTTTCTCATTCTTAGTGTTTTTCTATAATTTATAGTTTTCCTTTTACATCTTAAACAAGCTAAATGTGACTCATCTGTGATCACTTTTTTTTATTTATTCATTTTTTTAGAAATCTGCCTTTCTGTTTGCTAAGATTTTAACGCTTATACCTTTAGACTTAATTAGATGGCCTCACATTAAATCAGTCAAGCTAATTATCCAGCTCACCAGAATTAAAAGCCAATAGAAACAACTTAGTTCTTAGAAGAGATTTAAAATCAGACAAGCTCCTGACAGATCTTTGGTAATGGGAGACTGTTCTACAGTTTAATAGCTTTAGCTACAAGAACTCGGTCTCCTTTGCTCACCAGTTTGGCCCTTGAAAGAACTAAAAGCATTTGGTTTTCACATCTTAACATCCTAAAATGGTAATGTTTATGTAAAAAATCGGTACCAAAAGATTTAAAGGCAGAGAAAACAATTTCATTCACCAGTTTTTATAAAATGTGACCTGCTGGTACTGACTTTTAGTAACAATAATAATTAAAAATGTTTATTTCCATAGCACTTCTCTAAACACTGAAAGGAGAACACATGAATACATAGCATGTGGAAAAAAAACAGGATAAGCAAAATAAAGGCCGATTAGCTCATTTGATTTTCTTTTTGAGGTTCATAAAATGAAAAGATATAAAGACTGAATTAATGTTTTTGGAGGGTTTTTCAAAGCCAGTTTAAAGCACATTTACATTTATAATATTGGTTAACACCACTTTCTGGGAAATTGTTAAATGATCGTGTTGGAAATCATTTTGTTGGTTGTGATAAGTTTAGATTGTGTTTTTACTTTATTTTTTTCCGACTTGTATAAAAAAATAAAGGACCCTTTTCTATAGATAAGTTATATTAAATGAACTGAAGGAGTTTTAATAATAACAATAACACAGTTTATTTGTAGGTGCCTTTCTTGACATTCAAGGTCACCTTACATAATTTATCATATTGGATCTTTCTATGATCTTCTCCTGTCCACCGTTGCTGCTCTGCACTTTGTATCTTTTTGTATCAGCTCCACATCACACCTTCTCTTTTCCTCACGACTTTCCTCTTTTTGTCTAATGGTCCTCACAGCGTAGTCTAAATTGAGTTGCAACAACACACCTCCATAGGCCTCCTTTTTTCTGAGCAAATACAGGTTCAATCAACTTGATTTGGATCATAATACTGGTCACCACAATCACTTCTTGATTGTATGATGTCATTTATGAGGCATCTCACTTTTCCCCTTGTCAGTTACTCGTGTTGAATCGGTTGCACTACACTGGTGTGGGGGTAATTGAGTTGTTCGTGGAGAAATTTGATCAAACATTTAAAAACATTGTAAGATAATGAATGTTTTGTGTCCTTGGTAGGTGGCGGCTACCCTCAATAACCTGGCTGTCTTATATGGGAAGAGAGGGAAGTACAAGGAGGCAGAACCTCTCTGCAAGAGAGCGCTGGAGATCAGAGAAAAGGTATGTCTGCCATCAGTGGGATTAGTTTAAGATCATGTGCTAACGAACCACATCTCATTGAAAAGAAGGACTTGTCCTTGAACAAGGGAATGCGTTCACAGAATATTTTCTGTCTTTGACGGCGTTGTTTTAAACAGTGAAGGAAAAATCTGAAGACCATCCATCATTTTTGCAGGTTACAGTTCCCCCCCCCAACCACTTGGTGCACATGCGGAGACATTTTGAACTTTACATTGTGTACATTGCCGAGGTATCTATATATTGATGAAAACTATCTCTGAGCATCATGTCTGACCTGGACACTAACCTCAATTCATCTCGCTTTCTGGAAGCTTTCTGAAGTTGAAGAGATATAGACAGGATGCTTTGGAGCGCGTCCTGCAGGATTTTGTACCGCTACCTCTCGTTCAGAGGGTTATGTTGACTTTTGATCACTTCAGCTGGAGAAATGTTCCCTGATTTCAAAACTTTGGCTTAGACTTCACTTGTAATTTCAGTCTCCAGATCCACATCAAAATCTTGGGACATTTGATGCAGTTCGTGTCCATGCTCAAAATTTAAGTGCGATCATTTAATTTCATTGTTTACATGTTTTTACTGGGACCAGAGTCAGCTGTGTTTAATCAGAGCGGAGAAAATGCTGAATGCATTCATGGCAAAAAGAAGATTCTCTATTCAGTTTGTTGAATATGAAATTGAATCATTTTAAATATTGCACAATACCACCAACTATTTAAAATGTGCATTATAATTCATGCCTTTTCAACAAGAGAGTAATGTTTGGTATTTTTCTGTTGAAAGTTTATTGATACAAGAACAGAGTCAGTAAATAAATTGTAAATAAGTGTATAAATATGTATTAAGGTCCTGATTCAGTACATCCCTGGGTTTTAAATTTACACTTCTGTATGTTTTCATGTTGCCTCCATCTACAGAAACAATTTTACTTTGTTCAGCAGTAAATAAAGAATTTTTCACATTTGTGAAAATAGTTGCATTTTATTAATTTTTGAAAACTTTGAAGAGTGGCTGATAAAGATGTCTCTAAAGTGTTGGTTTGAATATTTCTAATCAACTAAGGATAATCAGATATAACTAATGACTATATAAATTATGTGACAATAAAACATTCTGAAAATGGTCAAGAATTATTATATTTTTGATCATTTTTGAATTAGATTGCACTGATAGTTGACTATAAGACATGCTTACATCACTTTGTAGTTGTATGATAATACGTGTCGTATGTGTACGAGTTGTCCCTGAAAGCACTTTAGAGGTTTGGCTGTTATAATGTCCCGTCTCTCTAGACGGTAGAATGCCACGAGACGCAGCAAGTTTTATATGTTCTTATATTTTCAGTCTGATTAGTAATCTGTTCACTCAGAATATATAAGATTAGTAAACTTGTTAAAATTTGAGAGAAAGTGTCGATATATTAAGTAGTATTTTCTTTTAGCATACTGGCAAAAAATAAAATCAACCAGATTTACATTGATTCAATGGATATCAGTTGTTTTATATCAATAAAGTGAGCTGTAAGTGGATAACTGCTTCTATAACACATGGGGCATATTAAGTGCCCTATATGTTATATGGCCGTCTCTCTAGACAGCCCTATAACACACTATAACACAGTGTGTTCCATAAACACACTGTTTATGGAAGTGAGAACTGATCTTGCCTCTTGAAAGCGTTTCCCATTTTCATTGGAACATTTGAGCCTCTTCCTGAATGAACTGCCAAGGGATGTGGTGAAAGGAGAGTGCTAGTGGTTGGGATAAACAACATGAGGATACGGGATCCAGCACTTCTGTATCACTGGAGGAAGTGTTAGCGGTCAGGACTAAGTTAATAGTGATAATAAATTTTCCTTGATGCATCAAAGCCACCATGTGGGTTACAGACACTGAAGTGTGTCCACAGTGGGTTGCAAAGCAATTCTGCAGGGTGGAGGTTTTCCACAGACTGACTCAGTGATCTAACAGCAAACACCAAAGTGGAAAAATAACTTGCTAGTGTGAGGGTTTATTGCCTATCTTGTCTCTGTTTTTATGAGCAAAGCCACGCTGAGGATTGCTGTTTCCTTTTACAAACAGCCGTGTGACACATCCTTCCTCTTTCCTTTATAATTTCTCTGCTTGGTGACCTGTTGACCCGGCCAGCTATGCTGCTCAGCCAGACTCAGAACACACCTTCTGCAATGATGTCAAGCTGCGTGGAATGATGCTAACAGAGATTCACTGATCAGTATCTTATAGCCAGTTTCAGGCTTTCCTTATGCTTTGAGTAGGCCAGTCACAATAACAAATTTTGCAGGACAATAAATTGTCCCAGAAGGTAACCCGATAAACAATAATATTGTTGTTTTGAGACCAATTTTAAGTAATAAAATGGTGATGGCATAATAATGCAAGAACACATTTTCAAAGATCAAGAAACTTTACATTCCAATAAACATTTAACACTGGAACTGGAAGACATTGTAAATATCCAAATGAAGTAAACAAAACAGAAACAACAAATAAAATGAATTATGAAGTTACTGTAAACAAAATTACCCTTCAAAAAAAGGGCTAGTTGAGACCAACGCACCAGACTGAAGACCAGTTTTGGTAGGAAGAGAGAGAGAAAACTGTTAAAAATAAAAATAATCCAAATGGAAAATATTGATCTAATTGTGATTTATCATTTGATTAATTTATTTATTGTTTGTTGTGACAGACCTAGCTGAGAGAGATTTAAATCAACTCTGAGAACAAACAAAATATCTTTCTCTCATCAGCTGTTCATAATGGGAGCCATAGCGGTGTCTATTGGCGCGTCAATGCTGTAGCATTCTTTACCTCCATCAAACGAAGAGCAAAATGTTTCCACCTCCACCTTTCAAAAGTCTCCCATAACCGCAGTGTTTTCTAACAAACCCTTCCTTTTATTATATTCTGACCAGAACCAGATCCCATTTGGACTGGACAGGATTTGACACTCCTTGACACAAGGAGACTTCAGGTTTTTTTTTTTTTATGGCGCGATGTCCTTTTAAATTATGTAGTTTCCCTGGGATTTCTGCTGGCAACACTGGTTCCAGAGATCTTCCTTTCTGTTTGAGGAAAGATCTTGTATAAAGCCAGGAGTTTTATTTTCCAATAATTTTATGAACAGTTGTTACTTTTTTTTGTCCTTCAACAACTCTTTGAAGACGTTGATGGCTCAAGATTTTTGATTGTTGCTCTCTTTTTAAATAAAGAAAACCCTTGATGCTTTTTTTTTTTCCCAGGTGTTGGGGAAGGACCACCCAGACGTGGCCAAGCAGCTGAACAACCTGGCCCTGCTGTGCCAGAACCAGGGCAAGTATGAGGAGGTGGAGTATTACTACATGAGAGCTCTGGAGATCTACCAAACCAAACTGGGACCAGATGACCCCAACGTGGCCAAAACCAAGAACAACCTGGTGAGGAAGGTTGAAGTTTTTAGGAGGGAAAACATTCCAAAGCATAAAACATTCCTGTCTCAAGGCTGAGACGTTGGCCTTGTTTGATCTCTTTTCACTGTAATTCTGATCACAATAGCTGGTTCTCTGTGTTCTCTAGGCTTCCTGTTACCTAAAGCAGGGCAAATTCAAGCAGGCTGAGACTCTGTATAAAGAAATCCTCACTCGCGCTCATGAGAGGGAGTTTGGCTCTGTTGATGGTAAGATTATATAAGAATATCAACTAAATAATAACATATATAGTTATGACAAACATGTTAAAGTATTCAACAATCCTTGATCTACCTAAAGAAAATCATTTTCTTTGTTCAGATTTCTATTGCAGTGATTGCAGTGCAGTGAAACAAAAAACATTTTTTGTTTCTTGGGTATCAACTGATCAGAGCTGGTCAAGTGTAGAAATGCACCAATTTGATATTATCATCTGTATCGTCCCAATATTGAAAGAAAGAAGAATTATAGATCAGATATTGGTGACGATGTGCTCGATCCATAAAGGCAGATCTAGTTGGTTTAATTCTATGCTTTGTTCTCTGAGCGGCATCATGTTTTATTATTTATTTTGCATTATATTTAGAATTTCTAATTGCACTTTATGAACCATTTGAAAGAAGGTTTGTTTCAGTTTATTTTTACATGTTTGACCAAGGCAGTCAACCTATTGGTTTTATCATTTTCAGTTTCTTTATTACTTATTTTACATTGGCTGTTCTACTCATAATTACATTGACTGTATTTCAGTGTGCTGTACTGGTGCAGAGTTGCCAAGTAAATTAGTAATTCAGTACATTTATTTCTGTTTAAATAAAGAAACATTTTAAATTAGCAATGTTTTTCTAAACCTCAGATATTGATATCAGAAGTAAAAAAAAAAAAAGTGGTTGCTGCATCCCTTGCCAAGTGTAAAATTGGCAAGGGATGTGGTGGCCAGTCAGAGGTCATCTGGTGTTCTGACTGAATGACAGCTGACGGAGACAAAAATAATCCAAAACTACTGGGTTTTTCTTAAGCAACCTCCAGCATCTGCTATCAAAAGGAAGACCGCTGCAAACAAAAACAACCTTTTAGTTTACATGTTCTAGTTGCCACTGCTGATATTTGTTTTCTCTTTCAGATGAGAACAAACCAATCTGGATGCATGCTGAAGAGAGAGAGGAACAAAGCAAGGCGAGTCTTCTTAAACGTCTGTTTAAAATCATTTTATTGTTAACGCTAAGGCATTGTGATGTTCCTTGATAGTGATGCACAAGTTGACAATTTCAGGTTCAGTCTTGCAAGTCAAAGGCTTTAACCTGCCTGTGTTAACAATACAACACAGAATAAATGCTGTATGTTCAGGCTTCTCTTTCTAAAGAATAGTTTTGTATGTTATTTCACAGGGGAAACTGAAGGACAGTTCACAATTTGGAGAATATGGAGGCTGGTACAAAGCATGTAAAGTTGACAGGTCAGTTTTATCTCCTACATCTGACATCATCAGCCTGAAATATTATTTATCAAGCTTCTTCTTGATATTCCAGTTTCATCCAAGTTATTCCCACTTCTGAATTGCCACAGAACACACCTGAACCAATTTACACATTTTCTTTGAAAGATTTGTAATTTGTATTGTGGAGATGGCTAAAATGAAAATGCATTAAATCAGTAAACAATTGCAGTTCTTATTTTATCGATCAACAAAGTGACTTATCAATATTATAATCCTCTCACTGCTTTCCAGCCCCACGGTCACCACAACCCTGAAGAACCTGGGAGCTCTTTACAGGCGGCAGGGCAAGTTTGAGGCAGCTGAGACTCTGGAGGAGGCAGCCATGCGCTCCAGAAAGCAGGTGGGTGTTTCACTTCTGCTGGTTGAAGTGAGACAAACAACACAAGTGTTTGTCTAATTTTGGGTTAAAAATTAAACTTTGTGAAAATGCTCATTTTGATTTAAACAATCTAAAAATATTGTGGGTTCCTTCTTTGAGAGGACTTAGAGAACAAATAGAGAATAGATGGCTCACACCGCAGAACCTTTTCTGAAAAACTGTGTGTGAGAATGTCCAAGTGAAACTGTAAGAGTCACATGGTTTAGAAGTTTAGAATATATCAAAACGGTATGAGATAAAAAAAAAAATGCTGAGTTAATTGCACCTAATATCTTATTCAAGTCCAGATCAGCAAATGACATTACACATTACTGTATAGACACTAAAAAGTAATTAATTGAATTACTTTGTTGCAGCTTATGAAATAGCTGCAGTGAAATGACATTAACTTGTTGTTGCGACCCATCCCATTTTTAAAGTAACCTACCGAGCTCTGTTGTGTTTCAGGGTCTGGACAATGTGCACAAGCAACGCGTTGCTGAGGTTCTCAGTGAACCAGAGGCCGGCGACAAGCATCGCAGCCGAGAGAGTCTGACTTCAGACACGGTGAAGTACGAGAGCGGGCCGGACGGTGGCGAGGAAGTGAGTATGAGCGTGGAGTGGAACGGGGTAAGTACAGTACACAGCCCTCAGCGCTTTATACCAGCAGCATGTCAGCTGGAACAACAGTTGCGTTCCTATGATACTCAGCCTCCATCTTTATGGACCAAAGCCATAGTTGCAAATGAGTGATGGGAGTGAGGATAAAAGCAGAATACTATAACCATCTGAAAGTTTGCTTCCCTCTGTTTGTTTTCGTTCAGTCAGCGTTGTAAACTTAACACCTGTTTCATTTATTAGATTACAATTAATGTCTGTTTGGGTGTTTGGGGGAAAAAGCATTGTTCAGTGGCTTCACTCAATAAAGATACATACAAAGTGTTTTTCTAAAATAGAATAGCATTATCTAAAATGGAAACAAGTTTACTGTTCGATCAGCTACATGTGGATGATTTCAATAGTATCTTACTGATGATGCTGATTGACTGTTGCTGCTGTTTCCATGCTGCTGTTATAGTTGGGGATTGCTTATTGTAGGTTTTTCTTTTACAGAAACTCAGACTTTTTTGGACAAAACAGGCACAAAAATATAGATTTTAAAAATATGGAAAACAAATCCCTGTACAGGTCTGAAGTCGTTGGAAAGTTTTAATGCATTGAAAGTGGAAAAATTTTTTATTAAATTTTTATTTAAGTTTTATATGTTGTACCATGTGGGGTTGAAAATTGAATAGACAATTTAAAGATGCCTCAAGGGTTAAAACTTAGGACTCACAAGTTAAATTGTATTTCTTTAATTAGCCATCAAAAAAATCAAAGATTTAATTTTTTTTGTATGATTTCTGATCTATAATTTTGTAAATTTCAAATGTTGTTACTGTTAATGTTACAGTAACATCCAAAGGTTATAGTAAATGGACTTGAATTATAAAACATTTTAAAATGAATTATAGTTTATCTTCTATGAAACAGATTGAAGTTTCATTGAGGGAAAAAGCTATTAGTTATTGAGTTATTGTAACCACTGAAAGCTTTTCTCTTATGATGCATTAACTAGTTATATTTGTGTATATTTAACAAAGACACAATGACAACAAACTATAGCATCTTATATTAGCAGTTACTAGCTTTAGCCCGGCTAGCCACCTGAATGAACAGCTTACATACAGCTTCCTTTCTAAAAGCTTCTTGTATCTCTGTGCTTCTTCTGTCTTCTTTCTTAAACATTTCACTAACACTGAAATTGTGGAACTTTCAGTCGTCTTTCTGAAATAACTTCCATACGGAAGTGTTATTAGCTCAACCTGGTAGCATTTAATGGTTTTCTTTATGGCAGTCGAGACTTTGGACTTATCCACGCATAGCCTGGTTCTTATAAAAACAATTAACTCCACCACATTGTTTAAAAAGAAAAATAACGTACACTTACGATCGGTTTCAGAAAAGTTTTTATCTGCATGAAACCCCTCCAATCCACCTCTGAGCTTTGTTTTAAACATGCCTAACCAATAGGGGGCAGTGTAACGCAGAGCTGAAATCTATGTCAACCAATCAGATCCTTCAAAACAACCTCGACTTCCTGTTAGGAATTAAACATGACTTAATTTGTGTGGACAGGCGTATAAGTTGAACTGCTTTTAAATAACTTATTAGAAAACATACGTATTAAAACATAAGATAATGCTGATTGGGAATCTTATCAAAGCAAGTATGTTGATATATTGGTGCATTGTTTGTCGTAGAACCTAAAACTGTTTTTCCATGTGCACATGCAAACATGGAAAAACAAATCTCCACTTCTGTCGGAGTTCTTATAAATTGTTTTTAGTGATTTTAAACTGAGCTTTGTGTGTGAAAGGACAAAATTCATGAAAATATATTTGTTTCCCCCAGAAATCCGGCTATGTGTGGACTAGGCCCAAGAGTATGTTTAGTTTAAGGCAGGCCAATTGGTGATCAGGTCCAGTCAAGGATAAAATCATTAGATCCCAGATTTCTGCTCGTTTCTTGAGTATTCCTAGCTTAACTTTTTCTCTGTTCCACTTTCTAACCCACTAAAACATTTTTCTGCAGTAAATCTACCACATATAAACCCATCCAGTCTGACTCTCTGCAGCACAGCCACGTTTCTAACCTTCTGGAGAGTCTGCAGTGTTCTGCTTCTAGTCGCTGCAGTGACACTACATGTAGATGTAGACTTGGCTGTAAATTGCTGCTGCTTCTGCTCAACTAGTCCTCTTGCATAGCAACGGTTGCCATAGCACCCTGAACAATCAATGAGCATCTGAGCCACCCCTGGTCATGACTGTGGGAGTGTTTCTAGAGAGGATGCAGCCGAACCAAACACCTGAACCCAACTGAGCTTCAGAAGGGATCGTTTTTGTCTTCATTTATACTTGGCAGAAAAAAATATTCAACTGAATTTATATTATTAATAGATGTTAAACTGTTGATTTACAATACATTATTGTCAAACTTGTTACATCTTTATGCCTGTACTTCACCATCTCTCTGCAATTTCAAAGCCATATTTTGGTTTTCAACTTGTCAAAGAAATCATTTCCTCTTCAGCGCCCTCTACAGGCAACTGTGAAACCACTTCTCTTCCCTCTAATTAATAAATCAAACTTAAAAATCTTTTCTGACTTAACCAGGGCTCTGTACTGTACTCCTGCTCGATGTTCTCTATCTGTGTGCATTGTGCTGCATGTGTCCATGTATTTGTTTGATGTGCTGCTTTCTGAGAATGAAAACTGACTTTTCTCCTCATTTTTTTCCTTCACTTTTTTTTTTTTTTTTTTACCTTTGTCACTAAATATGTTTGCAGCCACAGAGGAAAAAAGAAATTGCAGGACGTAGCGCATCTCTTCTTAGCTTGATTTTAAATACAAGAAAAAAAAATCAGAATTGGAAAAAAATATCTAAGTTAATAGCTTAATCGGGGGAGGGTGACATTTTTTTAATAAGTTAGTTGAGCAAAAAAAACAAACAAACAAAAAAAAAACTCCTATATCTATTTGCAAAATAATTCAACCACCCAGTTCAGCAGCGCTCTGGCTGCTCTCGTGTGTTTTCTTTATTCCTCTCCTGTTTTGTTTTTTTTTGCTGTGCTTTAACAATAACAAATTTCCACCGCCTTAAAAAAAGTCTCTCAAATATTTTCCAAATTCAGACACAGGATTAAACCAACACAGTGAACTGTCAAATAGCTCCACCTAGTGGCCACATCTAAAAAAAGCAGTATTTCGTGATAAAGTAATAGTGGAAAATGGAAGTCCAGACCTCGAGAAAAGGCTTTCTAGCCAATTGAAGAACCTTAGACCCATTTGTGGAAATCAGACCTGCTGTACTTGCACAAGTTGGGAAAATATCAAATTGTTTACCATATTGAATGACATAAATATATATTTAGATTTGTGCCTTTTGTTTTACTAATGTTTTTGTTTTTTCTGATGTGTGTGCAGATCTAGTGCTTCCTTCCACTGTTTGATGAACAGAGCTTGTGTCTGATTAGTGGAAACCCTGTCTGCTGCTGTTTTTGTTTCCCTCCATCTGCCTGCTTAGCTTTGCTTTTGCAACTTTTGCTCCACGTCTCATGTGCCTTTGTTCCTCCACCTGTCACTGTTTATATTTCTCTCTCTTTCTTGTCTTTCTGCTCTGTCTGGATGGCAGGCTTAACTCCAGATGCCTTGTAATGGTTCTAAAAACTTGTCTTCTGCATGACGGATGCCTGGCCTCACCTCGCCTCCACCCCTCCAGCTTTGCGGTTTTCTTCAATTTCCGGCTCCAACCCCCTCGAACCTCTCGCTCTTTTTTTTTTTTTTTTCCTGGAGGGATTCTTCACACCACACTGAACCACACTGATACCACTCTGACGCCTCTCTAACCCCACTGAAGTGTTCATCTGCTGTGGGTGGTGGGCGACCGCTGTGACAGTATGTCCATAAACATAGCTGTTCTGCCCAGGAGTTATCTTCATTTTGGCCTGAACTCCAAAACAATGAGCTTATTGTTGCTGTTCCTCGCAAAAGTTTTCATATTTTTGGAACTTTTTCTCTTTTTGACAGAATACAATCATAAAATTCAGCTTTGTGATTTTTGGAGGATTTTATGGGAGAGACTAACACAAAGTAGTGCATAATTGTGAAATGGAAGGAAAAGATACAGTTTTCAAAACCTTTTACAAATTAAAATCTGAAAAGTGTGGCAGTGTTTTTTTTTTTTTTGTTCAGCACCTTTTACTTTGATGCCCTAAAAAATATGTACCATAGCAACCAACTGCCTTCAGAAGTCACTTAGTTAGTTGGTACATCTGCTGCACAACATCCACAGTGAATCATGGTGGTGGCAGCATCATTCTGTGTAGACAGAAAAGAAATAGCTGGTCAGAGTAAATGGACAATAACTTGTAAACAAGTGGTCAAAGATCTACATTCATATGTGGGACTGCAGCTAACAATTATTGTAGTAATTGAGTATTTCATCAAGTATTCTGACATTTATTTGGATAAAGAAATTGGCACATTATGCAGATTTTTCATTTAACCTTTTAGGCCTATTTTATACTAGAAATATGTAAAAAAGAAAAAAAAAGGCAAATAAAACAATTCAGTTCCTTTCTCAAAATAAGAAAATAAAAATTTCATTGCCTAAAATTTAATAACAGCTTTCCTTTACTGAACACTTGATCATATTTAGCTAATTTACTATTTATTTAACTTATTTTACTAATTGACTAGTTAGTTTGCGAAGTTGTTAAGAAAAGCTGTTTGATAATGACTGAAGAGAGCTGGATACAAAAAAATACATGGACGTTCAGTTATGTGCTGCTATTTTGTGTTGGTTTGTTGCCTAAAAGCTCTAAAAAGAATATAAAGAAAAAGGTTTGTGATTGTAACTTGAATAAGTTATAAGGGGGAATGAATTCTTTTGCATCACATTTAAATATGAATAGCTAACGCTGTTTAGATCTCAACACAGCTGTCAGATGGTTGTTCTAATTCTTACACATGTTGTTTTTTATGACACCTGTGTACGTATATGCAGTTTTATGGAAACGTGGATCGTGAATATAGGCAAGTTTTCGCCTATATTAAAAATAATCAGGATCAAGCATTGGATCTGCTCCTCTGTCATTAGTCATGTTTGTAAAAACGGAACCGACTTGAAGGCTACACGTCCAAATGAAGCAAAACTGTAACAAAGTGTCAAGGACGAAGACACTTTGTTACAGTGTCTTAGAAAAGAGACATTATGGTTGATGTTGATTTTCCTTTGGGTCAGAATGACAGGGAAACGTTTGGATGTTCAAACATATCAGCCCCTATTAAAATCCACTACAATAATCTTCATGTCTTATAGAAACATAACCTGTCGATGGCATTATGACGTGACCTATTCCAGTCAGAGAACACAGTTCAAACTTTGTCACCAGGTCATGATATCCTGCAGGTCTAATGAACTGAATTACCCATTTTCTGTTGACAGAAATAATCCGAGTAGTGACTAAACGCATTGTAAATAACAGCATCAGCATGATCAGGAGCAGCGTAGTTTGTAGTTCTGCACATCTAGGTCTTGCTTCCTGCCACAGTAGCCAGTAGTTTGTCACTTTGTGCTCATCTGTTTACTGGGAGGTCAGGGGTCACTAGAGCATGTGAATGGCAGCTGGTTTTCATGCAGGAGGAATTAAAATGTGGATTTAAGAAAAGCTGTAAGTTTTTTATTATTATTTATTTATTTAATTTAAAACTGTATTCAGATAAATTCGACTGAAAAAGAGTTTCATCTTTACCGTCTGTGTATCTATCTTAGGGTTGGTAGTGAGAAAGTGACGGCATTTGGTGTAAACAAGCATTATTTGTTGCATTTCCTGGAACTTTGGGGTTTAAGTAGCCTTTTCCTCAGCCTGTCCTCGACTTCTGCTACTAATATTCTGTGTCCTCTGTCTCGTTTGTGCATCTCCCAGTTTGTCTTTAACTTCTAATAAAACCTAATCTCTCTGCTTTACCTGAACCTGTGCCTCTTGCCTCTTTGTGCATTCCTTCTCTGCTTCTGTGTGCCTTCGTGACCGAATGAGAGTGAAGTTTCTGCACCACACAGCAGCAAAACACTTTCATATCTCACTTACCTGTGTCATTTTTCATTCCACATTTTTCTAAATTGTCTTTCAAATTGTCAGTCTTTGTGTTCCAGAGGTTTACTGAGTAGTTTGGTGTCTAGGAATTCACTAACATCAGTTGACTTCTTGGAGACATAGGGTTTGTCAAAGCTACAGTCCAGATAGACTGAGATCAAAGTTAGCTGTAGTTTACAACATGATCAAAATGTTTTAGGCTTAAACAGAAAAGCCTTTATGCTTCAGAAATAATGTAGCATAATTATCACAGTGTAACTAGTCATTCTTTTCCAATATTAACGGACTCAAGGATTTACCACGGTAACCACTAAATTTAGTGCCAGATTTCAACTAGGAGCAAAGAATAATATGCAGTCCAGAGAAAAGAATGTAACACCCTACAATAACGTTTACGATATTATTGTATCGATAACACAGAACCTAGAAACTGATCACCCAAAGATGGTTTATTGGTAGGGGTGCACCGATAAATTGACCGACTGAAAAATTGGCCCCGATTTCCATAACTTTGGGTGACCGACTATCAACCGATCTTAAAGACGGGGAGTTGAACCCAGGACAGTAACCTCCACACGTGGTGCGTCTGCTCCACCAACTGCGCCACCCAGTGCTCACCCGTCTCTTTTAGTGCTGTTAGACAGATAAATGGATAGAAGGATATCGGGTTTTTAGATTTACTTAAGTCTAGTGTATAAGTAATTTTGCACTGCCAATTTATTTGTGGGTATAGGCAACATGCTGTGTGTGCACTTTTTGCATTATGAGTGAAAAATCACTTTTTCTCTGTGTGACATTTTAGAGACCTCTACTCCTGTAAAAGTGGCTATAACAGATTTTCAGTCAAAATTAAACCCACACATTAAAGTTCCCGCTCTGCCTTGTCAATGAGTGTGCAAATACATCAATCAACATCAGTTTGTGCTTCTTTTGATGTCTTTTTTTGATTTGTTGCAACACTTGTTTGTCTTGTATGAAATATTGTAAAACTGTTTTGCATAAAGTTGTAAATATCACTTAGTTAAAGGTGTAAAAGCTGATAAAACTCTTGACCAGGAGTCTCCAACTCCAGACCTCATGAGCCTTTGGCTCTAACACACCAGAATCAAATGACACAATTATCTCCCCGGCATGTTCTTGTGCTGCAGAAGTCTGGCTATAAGCCATTCATTTTATTCAGCTGTGATCGAACTTGAATTCATCTAAAAGTTGCTGGGCAGTCACTTCCCATCTGGCATTGGAGACTGCTGGTCCAGGCCCTGGGATTGTATAATTAATTATATAGGTGTTTCACCAGTTCATCATATTAGTGCACCAACCTTTGATCGTCCATTTCTTGGACACCAGAGATGCACAAAGCAGAAATTTGTGACAAATCACAAAGTTTGACGTATCAGTATTGATTTTAGCCAATTTCAATTTCACTTTAGTACATACAAATACAAATAATAGAGTTCAAAGTACATGTACAAACCGGTGGTTATTCGTGTTGGGATCTGTGGTGATTTCGGTAATTGTGTTTGAGGAAAGAGTGTTGCTGCCAGTAGCTGCGTTTCCATTACAAATGTGTGCAAATCTTTGTCGATATTCTGCTAATGTCAAAAAAACATAATTTCGTAAGTGTTATGTTTCCATTAAATAAGAAATTAAATTAAAACCACACTTGAATAAGCTTATTCATACAAGTCATTAAAAATCCTGGCAGCAATAGATGCAAAGAGTTTTTCATAATTCAGCCATGGTGCTAGCGCTCATATTGGTCAACCAATCAGAGGCGACGTCGGCGTCTCATTCAGGCGTTGGAGCAACTAGGAAGCGACAATGTGGCGCTTTGTGGAAATTGTAGTTGTGATTTTACAGAAGATCTATGAATTCAACACGTTGGAATGACGAGCAACTTTTCATGACCTGTGTGATGCTGAGAGCTCTGATGGAGACGGCTGTACATTGTCCAAAAAACACAAAAACATCATCCTAGTTTTCGCCATTAGTAACATCCGGCTGTTGATCACATCACCAGTGGGATGTGAAAACAGTTTTTCCACTACAGAAGCATACATTTCAATACGGCTGTAAAACCGCCTGATCCTAGCGCAAAAAACTTTTTATTCATAAACTTGAGTTTTTCAAAATTGGCCTGTTTCCACAGAGCGGATTTATTTTCATAGTTTCAATTTGCATAATTTTACAGCCAATGGAAACACAACCAGAGCGACCTGGTAGGCCTTAGTCACTGAACATCATCCGATTCCAGTCACAAGCCAGTTTTTCTTGGTGCATCTCAATTGCAAACTAAATGCTGGTCATATATGAACGTCTTTAACATCTGTGCACATCTTAGAAAGTGGCGTGAGTAAGGGTAAGCCTGTGATGTGTCCCACCAGGACGGATCTGGGTCCCTGAAGAGAAGCGGCTCCTTCAGTAAACTACGGGCGTCGCTCCGTCGAAGCAGCGAGAAACTGGTCCGCAAGCTGAAAGGCGGCAGTTCGTCACGAGACGGCGAGCACAAAAACCCCGGGTAACTATCCGCAGCTCTAGAGTCCTGCAGTGACTGCTGCAGGTGGCTCCTGTCACACACTGGAAGCCTGGAGGAGCAGCTGGCTGGTGCGCTAACCAGAACCAAAACAAGTGAACTCTTCTACTTCACCGGTGGTGAAGTGGTGTAACCCTGAAGCTGTGTTTGCACATAAGTGTTTTTAGGGACTCTTGTCCCATATGCAATTATTACTTTTCCCCCTACATTTCTTTATAGGTGTCTTATCTATAGATGAATCAAAATATGAAACAGAAGCAAACTCTGACTTCTGCAAACTGCCTTGGTTTTTGGTAAAAACAGTTATTTTTTTAGGTGAAAGTGGGGTGACAAAGTAATTTTAGAAGTATTGTAAACTAGTACATGATATCTTTTATATAAACATGCAGTATTGTAAAAATAAAAGATTTAAAGACATTAGTGGTATTTACATCTGGGGTCATTTTGTAACATTAAAGAAAAACTTTAAAACTGTTAATTCTCCAGATAAGAAACATCATTTTAGAAAAAAACCATAATTTAAAAAGGAAGCTGCCCTAATGGAAAAACACGCCTCGAGGAATTTACCACATTTCCAAAAGATTATGTTTAAAAAAAAAAAAAAAGAAAATCCATCAAATCCTTATATTTTATTTAAGAAACATTTGCTATTGTCTTTTTTTATGTTTGAGTTCTTGCTTTTTTTAGCACTTGCACTGACTGATACACAGCCCTTAAAGTGTCGATAGTAAAAAAATCTTTAATCTCTGTGTGTAAGATCATTTTTTTTGATTGACTTGAACAACGGAGATTTGAAAGTGTGCGAATCGGACTTTAAGGGCTCCGTAAACCAAACCTGAACATCTTCACGGTGAAAAGCCAAAGACTAACAGATAAATGGAGGGAAGGTAGCAGGCTGTGTTTAACTACTAATGTCTCCCAGTGATTTTCCATCGCACTTGTTGTGCCCATGGAAATAATTTCCAACTAATCGTTCCATCTATTCACTGCATTTTGTGGCTGAACTGTAACTGTTCTGGACTTTTTTAAGTCCATCTTTTTGTTATTAAATGTCTGCATGGCTGTCCTGTGTAGAATAAAAATGTATTTTTTTCATTGTTCTGTTTTTCTTTTTTTATTTATGAATAAATTTTTATTTCTTCTGAATGTCGACTTGCATGCTTCATCTTTGTTCTTGCTGGTCTCTTGTGTTCCTTGGTGCTGCTCTTCACTGTGCCTCATGATGGTGATGGACAGGATGTTGGTGTTCCTCATCATCATCATCATCATCATGACAGACTCAGATATGTAACGTCACTGCAGAAACATCTTTGACAAAATAACTCCCCTTTTATTTGTTCTGAACAGATATCACGAATGTGTGTATCAGTTTTTTACTCATATTTAAACCAAAATAATTAGACTTTTAAAACTGTATTTAGCATCTCTACATTAGCGATTAGCCCAGTTAGTACAGCTTGCTAGCTTTGCTAAGTTTCCTTATGTATTTGTTTCAGGCTATTTAAGGAGGAATGTGAATTGTAAAGTTTTGTTGTTGTTTTTTTAAACCGTACTAAACCCTTGGAGTGTTAAATGCACTTTAAGTTGGATGTTTGCTGTAGTGACATTCACATAAACCTAAATTTTATGCTTTATGTTTGCATGTGTTGAACTTGTAGTGTGAATGTCTTGGTGCACAACATAGTAAAACAGTGTTTCTTAAATCTTTTTATTCACTGCAAAAACACAGAATCTTACCAAGTATTTTGATCTGTTTTGTAGAGCAATCATTATAGTTCACTTGAAATAAGACAAAACTAACTTAAAAGTAACTTTTCAACAAAATACAGCATATTGTTTTAAGTCAATATTCCTTAATATTGATAACAAGTACTTGTTCCATGGGCAGATTTTTTCACTTATCAGAACATTTTTCCCATATTATAAGTGAAATAATCTCCCAATGACACTAGTACTTTTTAAAATCAATGTTAAGGAATTATTTATTTAAAAGAAAAGCTTAGTTTTGTCTTATTTCAAGTGTACTCGGCCAAAAATACTTGGAAAGATTTAGTGTTTTTCAGTGTTTGTAACTAAGCACAGATCAGTAGCTGGTTTCACATTTTGGTCTGCCAGACTCAACTCAATCTGAATGGTCAGTCAAATTGCTATACCATCAGTAAAGGCAGAATAATCTGACTTTTTTTCTTTATTATTATTTTTTTTCCAATTTTACACAAACATGCAGCCCAAAATGTCATAACTGATGTCTAACAACACACAAACACTGCTGAATTTTCCATCAACCTAACAAACTAAATGTATTAAAAAAATTGCGGATTTGCATCAAGAAGTGGTGCTAACATTGTACCGATACATTATTGTGGAATTAACTTTTTTGTGACATTATCATTAACCCTCATGTAACTCCACTGAGTTTAAAAGCTCACAACTGACTCTCCACCCCTCACCTCTGACCCCTGACCCCTCACCCTGCCTCTCTGCATGTGGGAGCAGCATGAAGCGGGCCAGCTCTCTGGGGGTTCTTAACTTGCCGGACAAGCCTGCCAGAGACCACTACCAAGTAAGGAAGCCTGACTGTCAAAACATTGGTTCAACTGTTTGCAGTGAGTTCTCGGGTTTGTTTCTGTGTTTTGCCAAACGCTTTCATAACCGTTAAAGTTTATCACAATTATTCATGTTCCATTTGTGTTATTATATGTGCTGTTAAGTACAAAGTAGTGCATAAGTTAACTGGAAGAAAGACAATCTGTAGATTTTTGCCTTTAAAAAAAAAACCTGAAGAAAAAAAGTCATTTTGTAAACTATTTTATTTAAATACCTAAATTTAAGACA